TCCAAGCTCTGCCTGGTCAGTAAATCCCCATTATTCATGAACACTGGTCCAAAAGTTCTCCCTGCCCTAGTGTGGCATCAGTTGTTTTTTTTTTTTTTTCTCTATTGAAAAAGTTTTTCATCAGTGAGTTAAGCATGTTCTAATTTAGGATTTTTTTTAAAAGAGTTTTTCTGTCTCTGCTTCTCCCTCCCTCTGTTTCTTCACTTCCTTTTAGATTGAAACTCCTCTCAAGAGTTGTCTCTATTTACTTTCTGTAATTACTCTTGGACCCCACTACTCTGCCATAATACTCTTGTCAAGCTTATTGATGCCGTCCATGCTCTTAAACCACATAGTAGTATGTTTATACTGCAATCAGTAGTATTTAATGTGGCTGACTACTGTCTCATGTGAACCAGTCTCTCATTTGGCTGCTAGGTTTCTTCCCACCACATTGACTGCTTGTTCATGTACTCTAAAGTTCAGTCTTCAGGGCTTGCTTTTATCTACCCATGGTCACTCCCTACTGAACCCATCCCATTTATAAGCTGACAATACATTGCCCACAACTCTTCTAAACGCTAGACTTACATATACACTTTCCAAGTTGGCATTGTCACTTGAATGTCTGTTAAAATTCTCAGTCCTGATATGTCCAGAGTAAGTTTTCATGTTTTTTAATATTTTTTATTTATGCATACAGAACTGGGGTGAGGCCAGAGGTGCGGGGGTGAGAAGATTCACCAGAGACAGAGTGGGGAGCAGAAGAGGTAAATCTATGCAATACACTGCTGAGGGGAGCAGTGGGTAAGATAGGAGAAGAAGTCTGCTCTGGCTTGATAGTTCTGAGTCTTTAACCCCTGTGCCACCAGGACCCTCCCACCCCAAAGAAGTTTTTGACCTTTACTCAAACCCAGTCTTTCTAGGTACTCTGGCAAAATGTGAAATGTTATTCTTGGTTTTTCTCGTCTTTCATACCACACACCTAGTCTGACTATCCAATTTGACAGTTATTAGAACTTCAGCATTTACCTGAAATCTGAGAGAATCTTGCTACCGCCAAATCTCTTACTTTAGTCCCCACTACCATTATCTCTGAAATAACATTTCTGATGATTGAAATTTAGCCTCCTACCTTAGTCTCTTTGCTTTTGTTTTCTAGCCCTCTTCACACTATTGTCTGTTTCTAAAATTGGAACCAGAGCAACCCTTCTAAAACAAATCACTTATGTCTATTTTCTGGAAATTCTCTAATGACTTTCTAGCACCATGAAAATCAGAGTTCTTGGGAAAACATGAATTCTGCATGGTATGACTTATGCGAAGAAATGGAAAAAAACAAAGAAAGATTCAGGCAAGCTTTAAAATAAACCTTTGAAAGCTGACCTTAGAACTGATGCATCTAGAGATGAAAAGGGGTTAGGACAGTATGAGGAGAGAGCATAGTAGACTGTTGTGGAGGACTGTGGATAGCTTGTTGATGGTTATGCTAGGAAGACTACACTTGAAGTAGGAAAGCCTATCCTTCCGAAATACTAACAGTGATACAAGCCAGTGGTACTACTAAATTAAAGTATATATATATTTTAAAAACAAAATCCAGTGACCAACAAGGTTTCTATTTAGCTTTGTCCCATGGAAAAATAATACAATGCACACTTGTAATTTAAAATATCCTAATATCCATGCTGATAAAGAAAACATAACATAAAATTATGAAAAGATAACATAAAATTAATTTTAATATATTTTATGTAAGCCAGTAGATCAAAATATTTGTTTCAATATGTAATCAAATATAAGAAATTATTAAATTATTTTACTCTTTTATATTAAATCAAAATTCAATGCTTTGATATAGTTTGGATACCAAATTATGGTTGGAAATACTTGATTTGCATTTAAGTCCTGCAAAATTTATAGTTGAAAAAGTGGATTGATATATCTAAGTGGTTCTAAAAATTCTTAAATTTTTTCTAATAACTGCATCCAGTGTTGGTTTTTAATTTAAAATTTAATTAAAGTTAAAAACCTTAAATTTAGTTCCCAGTCACATTTCAAATGCTCAATAGCCACATGAGATTATTGGTCATCATATTGGACAATTCAGCTCTTTACCATCTGGCTTCTCTTCTCTGATCTCATCTCCTACTGCTTTTCTCTTTGCTTATTCTGCTCCAGCTACAATGACCTCCTGTTATTTGATCACAGCTATTTCATAGCCTTTGCATTTTGCTGTTCTCTTGCCTAAAAAACTTTGCTTCCAAATAATTGATTTACTCACTTTCTTCAGGTCTTTGTTTAAATGCCACCTTCTTAGATGGCCGATCTCTATATACCAATAGTCTTCTTTCTCAATTTTACATTCTCAGGTTGCCTTTTGAAGTAAGAGAGAAAAGGGCCGAGAGGGGAAAAGGGAACCTGAGCTATAAAAGGAAGGCAGTGAAATATGAAAATTGTTCCATACAGACAAATAAATGACTGTATTAGGTAAAAGCACAGAGTAAAATTAAAGTTCAATAAGTCACCATATCCTCTCAACTTGCTACTTTATTATGTATGTAGCTGAGAGGATTATCTTTCATGTACTGGCCTCTTATATTGGTAGATTGTAAGTTCCTTGAATGCAATTCCTTGAATTCAAGGCTGTTACTTTCGCTTCTTCTTTTACCTTCTTTGAGACTTTGCATAGAACTTTGACCAAGAGGCACTCTGAACTCCAGTTATGGTGATTGCCTACCTGCTAGTTAATCTTTGGTATTTTACATGCTGTGATTCCTCTCTACTCTCTCCTCTTATTCAGTGCCTGCAACTGATGCACTTGTTGATAGACCTGTGTTGTTGTGTTGTCTTCAGTTGCCCTATGCCTGTGATTGTGACTTCACTGTTTTTTGTCAGTTCTTGTAAATTTTTATTCATTTTCCAAAACCAGCTCCTCTAAACTTTCACTGAGTCTCCTAGTTTAATTAAGCCCTAAGTGTTGCCTCTATGAGTATATACTTTTGTTTTGTAATCTAGTAGGGAATATAAGCATATAATCACAATTTCAATAAGAATTCTTGAGGGCAAGGACATTGATCTTATAAATATTAAAAAGTCTTTGATGCCTTGTTCAGTGCCTTGTGTACAATAGGTACCCACTGCTTGTTAAATTGAATGAACCAGGCACAGAGCAGTCTAAAATGTGGGTTTTAAATTTGTGCCTTTTTAAAAGTCACATTGATGTTGATCTGTGTGGAGAGGAACAGTAAATCAAAGATCAGTGCCTGGATAGGAAGGGGGTTCAGTGTCTGAGGTGCTCAGAGGAAGTTTCATGTTGGAAAACTAGGAAAGTATGTGTGCTCAGAGGGACAAAACTCAACAGTTTGTATCACAGGAAAACTGATCTCAGTTTACCCTGGGTTTTACTTTTGGTGTATTATTTCTTGATACATATGCATTGTTCAAATCCCTGCTGTTAACATATAGCAGTCTGATACCTGGGTAAGGATCATCCTTCATGTGTTGACCAAGGGACTGGTAGACACCACACTCTTTATTAAGAGGCCTTCATAATCTGTGATTCTTTTGTTGTTTTGAAAAACCAGACCCTATTAACAGGCACTTTTGTGGTGCTTTAGTGGGCACAAACATTTTTATCAGTTTTGCTGCTTTAGTTAGCCACTGTTTGTTTTTTTATAAGTGGGATATATAGTCCTTCCCTGGTGGCTCAGCGGCTTAGGATGCAGCACTACAAGCTATCCGCAGCTGCTTCAGTGAGAGTTCGATCCTGCAAGTGGCTCCGGATGTGATCCACGTGGCACAGCAGACCTCTCCTGTCTTGCCCACTGCTCCCTTCAGCAGTGTATTTCAGTCTATCCACCTGTTCTGTTCCCCACTCTGTGTCTGGTGAATCCTCTCACTGCCCTTGCACCTCTGGCCTGTACTCAAATTCTGTATGCATAAATAAACAAATCTTTAAAAAAAAATAACTGGGATATATACTAAAAGTGGATATTTGGATTGCATGTGAAGATATTTTGGTAGAAAACTCATGAAAACACTTTGCTTTTTTGGATTAAGGATATAGTCAGAAAATTAGATTTTATGTAGTTTTTCTCCAGATATTTTTGGTTACTCAAACACTTAAGTTGGTACTGTGTCTTGGCAATTAATTCTTTTCTACTGAGCAATTCTGGTAAAATGATAAAGTATTCCTTCCTCTCTAGGATAATTATTTTCTAGTGGGTATGTGAAAATATTCTAGCAGGCATCAGAAAGAAACAGCAATGAACAAAAACTTTATCTCTGATTCTTACACATTTGTTCTTTCTTTTAAATAAGGTAAAATATTGAAAACTAAATATAAAATGTTTTCCCTTACCCAAATAAGAAATATTATAATAGAAGAAACCCTACAAGTATATGAATAAAAGAGATGTCTCTTCTTGCTCTTTATATCCTAACTCCTCCCCCTTCTATCCAGCCTTATTTAGTTCAGACAAAGTAACTTAGATCTCATCAGTAACACTTCTTAATTGTTTTTCTCTCACAGAAAGTGAACCATCATTTTAATTTTTTGCTTGTGTCTACCTCCTTACATTGTAGGTACTATGCATCGGCTTGATGCAGCTCTACTTGTAGTCTCATGTAGTCTCCTTGTTTCTTGCTGATGGCCAGATTTTCTCTCCGTTTAGTGGATACTGAACAGCAGTAACTTTCCTTTCTGTGAATATGTAGGTGACAATAATTAAGAAATTTAGCTCTTGCTTCTTAACATTTATAGCCCTTTCTTTCTATTGGAAAATTTGCAGGCCTCACCACAAGGTTGCCCTGTCTAGTTATATTTTTAGTGAGAACTGGGTATCTTTTTCCTTCCCCATCTTAATATTTATCTTGTCACAGACTTTTCTCAGAATGACCTAATATGAGTATTTTATGATACTAATGCATATACTTTGTTAGATTACATTTCTATTTGGCTTTGTGAATTTGTAATTTGCATGGCTTCAGATGTTATAATTTTTCCCCCCACTTTCTAGGAAGTAACAGCTAGCAGTCGCCACTATGTTGACAGGCTATTTGACCCTGATCCCCAGAAAGTTCTACAAGGTGTCATGTAAGTAGTATGTACTTAAAAGTCTATTGAAAATTGTTGTTTGTTTTCTACTTGAATCTGCCAAATATTATAATTTTGAAAATGTGAATTATCTTTTTTTTTTTTTTTTCGTCTTGGAAAGCTCCCCTGACATTTATGACTTTAATATTGTACTATAAAGAATTGTGTAGTTGTTAACTGACATGGTTTGCTTTGGCTTTTGTAGAATATTTGTTTTACATTAAAAAAATGTTTCATTGGAGAATGAGTTTGTGACTTTAATATCCACAAGAGCTAGAGAATTAAAATTGATGATCTGTTATAATTGGAAGGAGGTATAGATTAGGCCACTGGGGTTCTTTTGTTTTTATTTTTGAGTTAATGCATCCTCTGAAGTGTGGATCTTCTGGTGATGTTTTAAATATCAGAGTTTAGGAAGCAGTCATTAGTGAATGTAAAGAAACTCTTGATTTTCTAAATGCCCTTCTTTTTTCCAAAATTCCCTTATGTCTAATGAGTGGAAACACATTTAAATAAAATACTTGAGGTAATACTGCTTTTAAAAAATTAAGTGTGGCCATTACAAGTGTTAAGATTACAAGTGATTGAAAAATGATTATCTCTCCTAAGAACCAATTAGGGCATTTAAACACAGAGTGCAAAGGAAGAATGTTTAGCCTAATTAGTCTTATAGGGCTGGGTACACTGAGGACCCCTAGGTCTCAACTGTGTCCAGGGAAGGAGCACACAGACAGATAGGGTGGGGATGAGATGCACTTGGGATAGCACTGAGGGCCCAGCAAATCCCTTTCTTCCCTTACTGCTAGTATTAGCAGCCAAGCAGTACCTTGTTTTATTCTTGCTCAACTATGGCAAGGTTAGGATATTTTATTTATAGGAATTTCTACTGAATGCAGTTCTTATTTAGACACTACTCCCCATCCCCCCGAATAAGGCATTGTAGAAGGGATGTCTTTGAGGGGTGGGGGTAGGATTTGTAAAGTGAAAGCAAGATAAAAGTGAATAAGACTGCTTGATTATTCAAACTGAACTGAAGAGGTGAGGAAAGGGGTAGAGGTCCTTTAGCCTGAGACTTGATACCTGTCCTCATATCTCAGTTTACAGAAACAGGAGATGCTGCATCTTCTTTTCTCATTATGTCAGTTTTGCCTTTATTCCCTTAACTATAAAACTATATAATGATTTAATCAACCTCTTTATAAGTTAGTTATCATTGTTACTAGAAAATGGCATTGAATCCGTTCGTTAAATAAATCTATTTTGGTTATACCTGTGCAGGCACACACACAAGTCAGTAGAGGGGAATAGATTTAATTAAACATTACTTAGATTTAATTAAACATTACTTAGGCAGATACCATACATAGTTCTGTATATTGATAGTCACAAATATTAAGATCATCAATAAATAGCTTAAATATTAAATAAATATCTTCTACAATCAATGACATTTCCAAATAAGCTATTTATTGAAAATGTCATTGATTGTAGAAGATATTATCATTTTTATTACTATTAATATGATTCTCTAAGGTTGATAAAATAGCAAATAAAGCATTAAAATGCACTGGGATGAGTGTAATATAACCAACTGCTATGGTTTGATCATCTTAGTGCCTCTTAAAAAATGCTTGTTTCATATGCTTCATTGTTAATTAAGGTGATAAAACTCATTTGAAGGGGATTGTAGAAGGAAAGAGCATGGGCTTTGGAGTTGAACACCAGAGGTTAAATTTCTAGATCTAACTATCCTGTTGGATTCCTTTCCTAATTTTGTGACTGGGCAAATTGACTTTGTTGAGCTTTAGTCTAATCATGTGAAAAGGGAGATTAATACTGCCAACTTGTTGTAAAAGTTAAGTCAGAAATATAAAATTATATGTAAGTATAAAAATATTAAATAACATTCAATGCCAGTATGTGTAGTTACCCACAAATTGGTACATAAGTGCTTAGTTGTTATTGACCTTAATTTAAAACAATTTCATATAAAATAAAATGATTCTTTACAAAGAAGAGAGAAGAAAATTAAAAAAAAAAAATCAAAACCATTCAAACCAAAGAAGAGGGAGAAGAGTTAAAATTCTGGATTAAGGGCCCTTCCTGGTGGCTCAGCGGGTTAAAGCACAACACTAAGAAATTAAGCCACTTCAGCATGAGTTCAGTCCCTGCTGGAAGGTGATCCACATGGCATGGCAGACCTCTCCTGATCCACCTGCTGTTCCTCCCAGCAGTGTACTTCCTTGATCTGACTGTTCTGCTCCCCACTCTGTCTCTGGTGAATCCTCTTACCACTCCTGCACCTCTGGCCTGTAACCCAGTTCTGTATGCATAAATAAATAAATCTTTTTTTAAAGTAATACAATAGTTTATTTTTCATCATTTTGTGCATTTTTTCATCTCAGTTGTAATCCCGGTGGGTTTCCCATCACCAAGTCACCCCTGTGCCATCACCATAGTCCAGTGCATTTTCCTCCCACCGCTGTTTTTGATCCCATTCCCCACTGCATCCCCATAAAATGTCTCTGGCATATAGCTGTTCATTATTATTATTATTTTCTTGCCTGGTCCATTTTACTCCTGCTATGAGTGAAACCATCCGGTAATTTTCCTTTTCTTTCTGGCTTATTTCACTAAGAATGATCTTTTCCAGCTCCATCCATGTTGCTGCAAAAGGCATGTGTTTCTTTCTTTCTTTCTTTCTTTTTAGTTGCTGAGTAATATTCCATTATGTATATGTACCACATCTTTTTAATCCAGTCATCCACTTTTGGGCATTTTGGCTGTTTCCATGTCTTTCCAATTGTAAATAAGGCAGCAATAAACATGGGGGTGCAGTTATCTTTTTAAAACAGTGTTTTTGTGTCTTTTGGGTAGATACCCAGAAGTGGGATTGCTGGGTTGTAGGGAAGCTCCATGTTAAGCAGTTTGAGGAACCTCCAACCTCCAAACAGTTTTCCATAGTGGTTGTACTAGTTTGCATTCCCACCAGCAGTGCCGGAGAGTTCCTTTTTCTCCACATCCTCGCCAACATTTGTCATTGCTAGTTGTTTTAAATGTGCCATTCTCACTGGGGTTAGCCGGTATCTCATTGTGGTTTTAATTTAAATCTCCCTTATAAATAAATAAATATTTTTAAAAAATTCTGGATTTAGAAAAGAGGGTGTGAATGAAGACAACATTGCACTAAACCTGATTGCTAATTTTAGTACTAAAATCTATCTAGATATTAGTCTCCCTCCACCTTTTCACTGGGAATACATTCCAAGACCCCCAACAGATGCCTGAAACCACTAGTAGTATATACTATATTCTCCTATACAGATAGACCTATGATAAAAATTGATTTATGAATTAGACACAATATTAAATTAACAATAATAAAATAGAATAATTAATAATGGACAATAGTATATACTATATTAAAATTTTGTGAATATGGTGTGTATAATTCTCTCAAAACACATTCTTTGTAATATTTTCAGATAGTAGCAACAGGTAAGCAAAAAACAATCATAGCTAAAGGGAATAGTTTTAGAGGGACAGATCACTCAAAATCTTATTTTATGTGAAAATAGAACTGACCTTAAGGGATGTATGGTGTAATTTGATAAAGCTTCCTTTTCCCTAAAAAATAAATATTTATTCTATTTGATTTAATTCACTCCTAAACTTTGTCACTGTCTGAAAAGTAATTGTATATAGTGAAGAGAATAAAAAGTGACTAATATTATTAACATTTTCTTTATTTTTAAAATTATTGACAGAGAAAAGGAAGAATCAAATGATGTTTAGGAAGAGTGTTGCCTGATATTATCCTTCTTATACACAGTTCACAGCCACCACTGAATCGCACAGACACCATTACTAGACCAAAAACAGGTAGCTAGGAGTTGACAACAAAGTGTAAACAACCAAAGGCAGCTGACTAATTTTAGTGGGGGAAAGATATAGAAGTAGTCAGCTTTGAATCCAGAATATCTAATTGGGAAGACATAAAAGAATTGTCAGTTGGCTTTAGCTACAAAATAGTTTTATCATTTTTTAGCAATATTAAGTTTGGTCTTCGCAGTAAATATTGTGAACATATAAAAAAGGCAAAACAAAATTGAAAAATGAAAGGTGAGTAATGAGCTTTCAACATACTATGACTAATCTCAATTATGTAGTTATAATTTTTAGCCTTTGCAACTACAGCAAAGAGTAAAAGTATCAGATAAACTACTGAATTACAAATTCCAGTTTCTTCCAGCATGGAGACCTGTGGACTACTTTAGAAAAAGCAATTGCAGGATATTTCTTGGTGATATTACTGCAGTATTAGCATAGTCATAGTAATTCTTATATTGGACTAACTATTCAGTGTTTTTGTAACTCATGAGTCAAAACTGCTAAAACACTGTTTTTTCAAGGTATGTAAATTAGAGCAGCTGGTCAGATTTTTACTATAGTGATTTTCCATGAAAAGATCAGATATCCCTATGTGGCCTTACCTTAGTATACTTTCTATTAACAGGCAAAAGGAAATAGAACCAAGTATGTCTGACTTTGTAGTTTCACAGTGAGTAGAACCAGAAAACTAGAGTGGATTTGTCTGGCACACACTTGTGGATACTATAGAATTGTATGGTTTTCACAAGTAACCCATTTCCTCTTCATACTTGAAGACTTACTCAAAAGTATCTTTTGGTGTATTTTAATGTACTGACAAAAAATTTATTTTGGTAATGCTTAATTTGATTTTCTGATTCTAGGAAATTATGTACCTCTAGTTTTAGTAGACTGTAGATAGGTTCTATTCTTGCATGAGCTAAATATACAAGCTCCCATCAAGTCAAGCCTTTAAGGATTTTTAAAGGATATGTTTCAAGATAAAGGAATAGCCTGTATGCACACACACACACACACAAAATCAGTTACTCTTAAAAGTATCATAGGGAAGCATTAAAAAAAAATGTCCTTAATACCAAATGAAATAAATGATTCTGAGTCTTATTTGC